ACAGCGACACTTGTCAGTGATCGACTTTGCGAGATGGAAGACTCATCGGCGTACTGGAAGGGCCTATGGCACGGCATGCTGCTACTGCTCCCCGTGCTCACCTTCCTCTATCGTAAGTGGAAGGTGGCTGCCGAGCGATCGGCAGTGCAACAGCCGGTACTCGGGTACGAAGGCCAATATTGCGTTAACGTTACTCGTTCGGGGTGAAACTCTCTAATCACGCTGTGTTGCCTATTGATTTATCTACAGAACGTACGACCCCACTTCGTTTTGGGGGTACTTGCAGGTCAACGCTTGTTTTCAAGATATTCTAATGCGTGCTGCTGTAGGTCCTTCATGAATGAGTTGTTTGCGTTCGAGGTGGTGCTAGTCGCAGGTGCAGAGCTTAAGGCGGTGCGTGATCAGCTCAAGGCCGCCGAGGAGGCAACACCAATGAACGACAAGAAGGTGCAGGCGCTCAAAGAGCGAGTGGTGGACGTCGCCACCGTACTACAGAAGAAGTTGGAGACCATCACGCCCATCGTGTCGTTCCTGCTGGAGCAAAGCGTGGGCGTCATTAAGGATCACCACGCCAACACATCGGAAGGTGAAGCAAACGACGAATCCAAGAAGGACAAGTAAGATAGCTCTGGCTTGCATCGTAATGTTACGAAGTCAATTTGCACAATGTTACGAATAGAAAAGGAGAATCTAGTAGAAGACGTAATCGCTTTCTTTGTATTGAAGTCACTCAAGGTCGACACCTACGCACCGTAGCGTCGCCCCGACGCTCTCCCCGAGCCACTATCACTACAAATGAAGGAGGTCGACACCGTCGCACCGTAGCGCTTCAGATCCACGCTTTCCTCCCTCGCTAAACCAACTTACGCTTCACAAATCGTCCTTGTGCTTGACCAAAACAGAGTTTACTGCCGAGCAGACTTCAGCACCAGAAAAGCGCCTTACTTCTTGATGGCGGTCTTGGCCAGGAAGTCAGTGTGCTCCTGGTACGGCGAAGGGCCGAACGTGTGCTGCTCCCAGAGGTCCGGGGTCAGGTACGCGTACGTGGCACGCAGAGCGTAGAAGGTAGCCTTGACGAAGTTACCCAGGGTACGCGTGTGGCCACGGGCCGAGGTGTAGCAATCCTCAATACCGGCCATACCCAGAAGCTTCTTGGGCACGGGGGCGGCACACAGACCGGTACCACGGGGAGCCGGGATGAGACGCACGCGGACGGAACCGCACTTGCCCGTCACCTTGTTGGGCACGGTGTGCGGGGCACCGACCATACGGCCCCAGTAGCCACGACGCACGGGCACAAGCGAGATCTTGGCCAGGATGATGGCGCCACGGATGGCGGTGGCAACTTCCTTGGCGCACTTGACACCAAGACCGATGTGGCCGTTGCTGTCACCCACAGCCACGAAGGCCTTGAAGCGCGTACGCTGACCGGCCGTGGTCTGCTTCTGCACGGGCATGATCTTCATGACCTCGTCCTTGAGCGACGATTCCAGGAAGTAGTTGACGATCTCGCACTCCTTGATGGGCAGCGAGAAGAGGTAGATCTCCTCGAGCAAGCCGATCTTGCCCTCCTTTACCAGGCGTCCGAGCTTGGTGACGGGCACCCACTCCTTGGACTCCTCACGACCACGGCCGCGACCACGGCCGCGACCACGGCCACCGCGGCCACCACGGCCACGGCCAAATCCTCCACGTTCTCCAGCGGGCGCAGGTGCAGCGTCAGCCATTGTCTTCAGTAGTTCTCTGCTTCTTTGGGGCGAAATGAACGAATAGCTGCTCAATCTCGACAGCCCCTTGCGTAACTTGCTCTCCTCCAGTCACTGTTGGATGTAACGCGAAGGTTGTTTAGACAAATGTTGCGTGAACTGAAAGTTACTGCAAAGTCGCACGAATTCTTTACCAACATTCCTTCGAGCAACATAGAGGGCAGAAACCTATAATATCTGATCCCTGCTACACATAATAAAACTTTTAGTGTTAACTTTGGTGAACACAAGCCAACCAAAACTCTGCAGTAACATATCCTTCCCAATACTATTTTTCTATTGAAACGCACAAACAAACTAATTCTGGAAGGTGTACTTGTTGACTGGGCAACAACGTGAGGCTCGCAAAAGGGGGCAAGCTCTCAGTTTTGTACTCCAAGCGAATATGATGCTGGCCGCGACGTCGACGCAGCGCCTGCGCCGCGAGGCTGCCTCGGTGCTGCGTGACCCTCGCAACGCGCGGCATCTGCACTTGCTGCAGCAGGTCCGTCTTCCTAGCTCAACCCAAGATACTTCACTAGTAGATTTCCTAATCTTTTTTTTATTCTTCGCTTACAGCAACTGGGAAGCTCGCTGCAGCGCAATGGAATGCGTGGAGTGCTCCGTGGTGTCCAGCAGAACCCGATGATGATGCGTCAAGTGCTGCAGTCCACGCGCCCGCACACGTTCCGTACGTAATAATACAATGCGTCATTTATGGCAAACGCAGCTAAACAATATTGTCATTATCAACACAGTCCGAAGGACGAACGCGGACAAGCCGCTGAGCTGGGCGACATGGCTTCAGGAGAATATCCCCAAAGGTTTCGGTCGTTTCTACCCCAAGAACGGTGCTAGTGGCGCTGGCAAAGCCGGTGGTCCGCCCAAAACTGCCCCCAAGACAGGTGAGAAAGGAGCTGGAGACGTCAAGAAATTAAGCTCCAAGACAGCAGAGAAAAAGACTGGAGGCAGTGGAGGTTCAGGAAGCGGTGGAGGCCCCAACGGCAAAGATGGCATGGCCTACCTGGTCCCTCTGGCAGTAGCTGCCCTGTTCCTGTCAGACTTGGCATCTATTGACAAGCCAATGCAGGAAATTACGTATCAGGAATTCCGCAACACTTTCCTGGAGTCTGGACGTGTGGAAAAGCTCGTGGTGGTCAACAAGAAATACGTCAAGGTGTTTCTAAACGACATGGCAGGTGCAACGCAGCCAGTTGGAGCGAGCTCTACGCACGGCAATGCCAATGATTTCTCGGACTGGAACGACCCTCACGCTAAGGGACACCACGAGCATGACTTTGCTGAGTCAGACCGTCAACCTAGCAGTGGCCGAGGAGTAAGCTTGCCTGGTTTGGGATCACGTGGTGGCGCTACTGGACGCCCCATCAACAGCCCGACTTACTACTTCAACATCGGCACTGTGGAAGGCTTTGAGCGACAGATTGAGCACGCACAACATCAGATGGGTATTCGCCCTCACGACTATATTCCCGTGCAGTACACCAACGAGATTAGCTTCACGACGGAGCTGATGAAGTTCCTGCCGACTATTGTGTTGATCGGCTTCCTGCTCATGACCATGCGTGGTGTCGGCGGAGGAGCAGGCGGCGGTGGCGGCGGTATTGGCAACATCTTCAAGGTGGGCAAGAGTCCGGCCAAAAAGATCACCAAGGAGGACATTAAGATCTCGTTCAAGGACGTGGCTGGCGTGGATGAAGCTAAGAAGGAGATCATGGAGTTCGTGGACTTCTTGCGTAACCAGAAGCGCTTCACGGAGCTCGGTGCCAAGATCCCCAAGGGTGCTCTGCTTGTTGGCCCACCCGGTACGGGTAAGACGCTGTTGGCTAAGGCCACAGCTGGTGAGGCCAGCGTCCCGTTCTTCAGCATTTCCGGCTCGGATTTCATTGAAATGTTCGTCGGTGTGGGTCCGTCTCGTGTGCGTGACCTGTTCAAGGAGGCTCGTGCCAATGCTCCGTGCATCGTGTTCATCGATGAGATTGATGCTGTGGCGCGTGCTCGAAGCAAAGGAAACTTCTCGGGTGGCAACGATGAGCGTGAGAATACTCTGAACCAGCTGCTGGTCGAGATGGATGGCTTCAACTCGAGTGAGGGTGTTGTGGTGCTCGCTGGTACGAACCGAGCTGATATTCTAGACAAGGCTATCCTTCGTCCCGGTCGATTCGACCGGCAGATCACCGTGGACGTCCCGGATATCAAGGGCCGTCGCGAGATCTTTAAGGTGCATCTGCAAGGCTTAACGCTCGATGGCAACGTGGACGACTTCGCACGTCGGATGGCTGCACTCACGCCTGGTTTCGCGGGTGCTGAGATCGCGAATATCTGTAACGAGGCTGCTATTGTGGCCGCACGACGGAATGGCACCAACATCTCGTTCAAGGATTTTGAACAGGCTACCGACCGTGTGATCGGAGGACTGGAGACCAACCGCATCATGTCTCCGGAGGAGAAGAAAACGGTCGCATACCACGAGGCTGGACACGCTGTGGCTGGTTGGTTCTTGGAGCACGCTGACCCATTGCTGAAGGTGACGATTGTGCCGCGTGGCAAGGGATCGCTCGGTTACGCGCAGTATCTGCCAAAGGAGGTGGCTCTGCACAGTCGTGAGGCTTTGACGGACATGATGTGCATGGCTCTCGGTGGTCGTGCGTCGGAGTTTGTGAACTTTGATGGTCGCATCACAACCGGCGCGTCCGATGACCTTCGTCGTGTGACCCAGATCGCCTACTCGATGGTGCAGTTGTACGGTATGAACGACCGTGTGGGCCAGCTCTCGTTCCCTCGGGAGGAAGGAGCGTATCCGGACAAGCTCTACAGTGACAAGACGTCCGAGATCATGGACGAGGAAGTGCAGAAGATCGTACACAACGCGTACGAACGCACCAAGCAGCTTCTGATGGACAAGCAGACGCAGCTGCATGAACTGGCCGAGGAATTGCTGCAGAACGAGACTATCAACCACGGAGACATCGTGCGTGTACTGGGTCCTCGTCCGTTTGGCGGTAACAAGACGTACACGGAGTTCGTGGAGGAGTCCTGGAAGGATGCAGACCAATATGAAGCAGACAAGGCCAAGGCACCCGAGACAACACCCGAAGCGAAGGATAGTGAGACCGAGTCCAGTGAGGACGAAGCTAAGGACGAGAAGTAGACTGGTAGCCTAGCCACTGATAAACGCACTTGTCCTGCACAATAAACGAACCAAGAGGAACTCGTGTCTTGTACATGTAGTTGATTGCGTTGCTGCCCGCAAGCCTATATACAGCCATATCCTTTACACTAATGAAGGCCTCCTTCTTGAACCTCATTTTTGGGAATTCTTATAAAAAAAGGGCACATGCAACGATCTTCTTCTCTTCTTGATCACATCGAGTTGCGGTGCTGGTAGCCGTTTCGGAACGTGAAGGCGCGCTCGAGGTGTGACGACAGGTTGAGGGTGCGGATAACTTCCTTGAGCGGCATGCGCGTCACGTCGATGTCGTTGATAGCGCACAGCACGCTGCCTTTCTTGACGAGCCCAGAGTTCTCAATTGTGCTCTTCCTGCCGTCGTATTTACGGACAAATCCGTCCACTACAGGAGCGCCGGAGTCGTCGCGATCCACTTGTAACACGAGTCCGCATGGTCCGGGAGGCACGATGATTGTGATGAGTGGGTTGGCGCGCTGTTTCCAGTCTTCCTCTGTGACGGACTCGTCGTCGTCGTCGCTCTCCTCGTCTGGGAACGCATACGAGTTCCAACCGCGCTGTTTGCTTTGCTTAACTGCGTCCTCGTCACTGCCCGAGTCCCTGCTGCTCTCTGTGGTGGCTAAGCTGCCTAATGCCAAGCGAGAGCTCAGTAGATTGAATTTACTGCGAGGACTCAGTGGCGGTTCCTGTAGCTTGGCTCGGAAGGCGTCGGCGTACGCCTGGGCGTTGCCACCGTACGTGCCGTCGCTTCCTTCGTCGTGCGCGTCGTCTGACAGCGCGTACGTCTCACCGCGACTCAGTAGAAGCGAACTGTGCTCTGGATGCTGGAGATGATGATATTTGGGCGGGAAAGCGCCATATTTGCCTACAACGGCAGCTACACGACCGGTCTTGAGACTGCCTAGCCGGTCGTAGCCCAAGCCATTGAGCCCTTGGTCTTCCGGGCCGCCACACGAGCACAGCGCTGCACCCATGATAAAGTCTCTTGTGGATCTCGCTTCGGTTTGTGGCGTGTGTCTGCTGAGTTGGATGGGAATTTATCGCACCGTGATATAGACGAGGCGGGACCATAGATGTGGCCTTTTTTGGGACTATTTTTCTCTCAGCTGCAATGAGCGGCAGTTTCGTGGACTATATTGCGGCCAGATATCTTTACATGTATCTAGGCAGGAGCTCACGTCGAACTTGTAAATGCCAGCAATGGCGTTAGGGTGTTAGACGTAGCGTTGCGCTGCTCATAGCAACTCATGCTGCCGGTGTCTGAGCAAGGTCTCGTCGGGTTGTCCACGCCAGTGGGCGGAACAGTTCAGGAACGAGTCGCACGCAAATTTGTGATTTGCGCAAAAAGGGACTGCACTCTGTAAACGAATATCCTATGGTTGTTGATCTATGTAGAATTGTTTGTCAGTACTGTTCCTACAGTTGTATCTTATTTGGACGCATAGATTAATACAGTCAGACATCACCATGAGTGGTAGAAGAAATGCGCCAAAACGTTCTCTACTTGAACAACCAGTTCTCTTCTCCCACGCGATGGCTACACAATTCAGGGGGCTGAGTTTTTCTCTCTTATCGCCACATCGGAAATGGGTGCGCCTCAGTGTTAAACACGATCTCATCAAGCGCCAGAATGTCATCGTCCGAGAAGAGCAGGAAAAGATACTTGAGCGTCTCCGCGATGAAGAAGCTTTCCATCGGTCCTGCCATCGTTGTCAGCTCGCCGTACCAAACATTTGAAGTACTGCGGTAGCCACCTGCTTCAACCTGCGGCAGAAAAAAAATGTTACGGGGTCGATCTGAATCCGGTGAAAACTCTAGAATCTAGACATTTCGGACCACGCACCTTGCTCTGCTTTTCAAAGGCTTTCATGATGGTACGGCCGTGCTCCCGATAGATTTCGTCGCCTGTGACTCGATAAAGGATCATCAGACTCTCCACAGTCTCGGGTCGCAAGATATTGTAATCTTGCTGCGGGAAAGCAATCAGTTCCGGTTGCGTTCCTTGGATGTCATCTGGATTCACTTGGGCAGCGAACAGAGTCATTTCAGGTGCCAGTTGTGACGCCGATTGGAGATACATCTGCTCAAAAAAAACTCGAGTGAGTTGATAATTACTTTGACAAGAAAGAAAAAAAAAAACTTACCTGAACGCACGTTTCTGTGAGCTCCTTGGCTAGCTCGAGATGTGAGGTTGGCATACCGTGATAGTATCCTAGCGCCAGCATTCCCGGTACAAAGCAGGTCAAATGCTCCATGGCAGGCTCGAGTTCTCCAGTCTCAAGTAGTTTGCCGACAAACGCGTAGTTGGACGGATAAGAGCGCCCCACTAGCTCAGCTTTGATCCCTTCCACAGATCTGACGTACATTTCTCTAAGCTTGCTGTCCTGCTTCCCGGTGAGCAACCATTGCTTCAAAAGATATTCGTAATGGCTGTCGCCTAGAGCACCCAAGGATATGACGGCGCCTTGCTGCGGTCTAAACATGTTTTTAGTGGCAACCAAGCAACAACGCACAAGAAGAGCTTACTCTAAAAACTTCCAGTCCATCCTCACAGGGATCAACCCGTTCGAGTAGTTCGTCTCGACTAACTTGGCCATCTAAGTAGTCGTACGTGGATTAGATAAAGATAAAACAAAATGGAACCAAGCATTTACGTACAATGTTGTTGACGTGCTTCACCTGGAGCAGGAACGAGTCATTTTGTGTAGCATGTGCGAGGTACTCGAATTCCAGTTGGAAGGTCCCAGCCTCTGACAAATGCGGCTCTCCGTAGCTTGTATACCCCTAGGGTAGCCATTCACGAGTTAGGCATAGCAATACTATTCCTTCACATACACACTCCATCTACCTGGAGATCAACAGTGTGGCACGGAACAGAAGCTCTACAGGTAAACCCCATCTGGAGAGCTCGTCCCAGCTTATCAGCGAGACTCAAAAAGTGCTTTTCTTCTGAGAGGTAGTACGCAGACAGCAACCCTCCGAGAGATCGAATGGTGATCTCAAAGAAACTCACAATGCTGTCTTGGAACATGATGTCGCTTAGATTCGCCTTGATCCACGCACTGGCCTCGTCAAACTCCTCGTGCAACCCCATAATGAAGAGCGTATCGAGTGAGTCCACAGTCGTAAGAGCCATGTCGTGGCCATACACAGTTTTTCCTACAAGTGTCGGCATACTGAGATAGTCGCTCCAGCCTGCAAACTTGCGGTATCCATGCCACGCATGACGCGTCATGTTCACCACCATCTTCTGGTCTTCATTGAAACTCTCGGTGTGTTTCTTGTAGAACTCTCGTTGGCTCATGCCCATTCTATCAGAACGTCGACGACGTGACCGGAAGAACTGGCGGTATCCTCTCCCCCCAGTCAGCGCAGGCAGGTAAACCAGGTGGGAATAAGTCAACAGAACGAGACTCGACACTGCCAGCGCTGCCACCATCGACCATAGCAGCTTCTGCCTCGTTCCGCGCTTCGCCGCAGCTCCGGAGTTGTGCTTCATCGCCACGGACAAATGATTAATGAATGATTAGAGATTGCTACATTGTAGGTATAACTTACTTTTACACGTGTATTGACGTCAGTGACATTCCAGCTGAACCGCCCACATCATTTTTTTTTCTTTTTTCGCTTAGAAATTTGTATGACATACTTCAAAAAGACACTTTCATCGGGACATGAAAATGACCATCACTCTTGAGAACTTCAACACGCTGTTCTAATTCTAGTCGCACCGTGCCATGCTGTCGCTGCCTCTGCCCATTCCGACGCCTCTTACCCGTTCATCGTGATGACGTCTGCCCATGAAGGGCCTGGAGCTGGAGCAATATCTGCTCGTGCGCGTGACCTGCACCGCAAACTACTGGATCGAGTGCTTCTCCGCAGTGATACACAGAATGTAAAGGACGTGTTCCGGCGTTATGATCGAGAACGAGCAGGTGTATTAACGCTGCAACAATTCAGGGCTCTTGTCCGTGACCACGACTTTCTAGACACTGATGCAGAGTTACTACTGCGTCATATGGGAGCCAAAGACCAGAGCGTGTCGTTCCACGCCTTCATGGGCGATGTACAGCTCGGAACTGAGCAGAATTATCCGCCTAAGAACGCCAACACCAGCAATTCTCCCAAGAAAACACAGCAGCTTTCACAGCTGCCTGAACAGAAGAAGAACGCGCAGCCTCAGATCAAGAGTAAAGCAAAAGGAACAACGAGTAAAGGCGGTAAGCCGGTAGTTGAAGTGGTACAGGACCCAATGGAAGCCATCCGCACTAAACTGCGCCAACGAGTTATGGGTCATAGTAAATCTATCCGTGAAGTATTCATGGAGTATGACGCTGATGGTAGCGGATTCCTCGACTACGAAGAGTTCGGGCGCTTCATGGCCAAGTACGAGTTCGAATCTGAGGAAACGCAGATTATTGTCGACTATCTAGACCGAGATCACTCTGGAACGATTGACTACGACGAATTTGCGGCAGGATTACTATTCTATCGGCCCCCTGTGCCCGCTCCAGTTGCCCCTGGACACGCTCAAGCACCTTCACCGCCGAAAGCTGCTGATAAAGTTACTGCGCAGAGAGCGAAGCCTCAACTATCACAAGCTCAACCTGTACGAACAACAAAAGTATCGAAAGAGACCGATTTTCAGCACATCCTGGCTTCGATACGGAGTAAATTGGATGAAACACTGAAGAAATCCAAGCAGAAAACTGGTCAGTCTCGCGACATTAGAACGGAATTTGATCATTATGACGTGGACGGTAGCAATAGTCTGGATCATCAGGAGTTTGGAGCGCTATTGGTCGGACTCGGTGTAAAGCTTAAAGCAGCTGAACTTCGCGCAATATTGCAGGAAATCGACCCTGACGAGGAAGAGAGGATTGATTTCCAGACAATTGTGAAGTTACTAAACGTTCCTGAAAGTAAACCGACAAACAGTAAACGTTTGAAGAAGGAGAAGCAGGAACAAAATAGATTAGAGGATGAAGTTCTCGCGATATTTAGAAAATATGACCGCGACGGCAGCGGAGAACTGGGGTACGAACAATTTCGGCTCTTAATGCATGAATACGGGGTAAAAGATGATAGCGAGATTGATGCTATGATCGATGAAATCGACGTAGATGGCCGCGGCTCCATCAGCTATAGTGAATTTGCACGAGCGTATTCTCGTCGGATAAAGCGTTCTTTGAAAGTGGATAACGATATTTTCGCTACGTTTGATAAATATGACCGCGATGGAATTGGCCAACTCGACTACACGGTCTTTCGTCGGCTAATGTACGAGTATGGCGTGAAAGATAATGCTGAAATTGACGCACTAATTGATGAGATCGATGAAGACGGAAGTGGGTCTATCAGTTCCCAAGGATTTAAGCGTGCATTTGATAACCAAAGGATAAAACCCTCTCTGAAAGCAGACAGTGAAGTTCTAAGCACTTTCAAGAAGTGTGACGATGATGGCACAGAAGGGGAAGAACACGAATTTTCACGTAAGGCGAGGCTAAAGAACAGTGAACAAATGAATGCGTTGGTTGGCAAAATCGACAGAAATGACCGTAGGATAAAACCTGCACTGGCAAATTCTCTACAGCGCCTAGACCAGGCATCTGACGCTAAAAACAGCGATGAGATACGATCAGAAAAGACTGCAAAGAAAGCTTCTCAAGAGGAGAATGATCGAAGTGCCAGGTCGCGATTAGTTGCGCTGCAGGAACAAGAATTGCAGTTTATGGAGCGAGTACTTCGACGGCATAATTCTATCGAGAACGCTTTCCGGGAATTTGATCACGACGGTAGAAACGAAATGGACTTTGAACAATTTCGAGATTTCATGGGCCAGTACGGGATTACAGATGAGGCTAATATTTCCATGCTACTCAAACGGTTGGACGCCGACAATTCCGGAACGATTGATATCCACGAATTCTTATCAGTATTTAATGCCCAACGTCTCGCTCGTCATAAAGGAGGCGCTGCGAAAAGTTTTGCTCGGGATAATAAACGCCAGAGTACAGTTGCAACTTCGGGAATCGCAGAGGAGAGCTTGGTGACGCAACCTCCAGTACATATAGGTACTAAAGGTGTTGAACATGGCGATAAACATCAACATGCAGGTTCAATTCGTGGAGATCAAGGCGCTATAAGGCGAAATGTAAAAGCCGAAATTACTAGAGATCCAACACGTATATCGGATGCAAAAAGCACAAATAAAACGGGTAGTGCTGCTCGATTAAGAGAGCTTGAAGAGAAGTGGATTCGTGGGGCCCTGGCTGGCCATGAATTCTTGCGGTCAGCTTTTGCTAGTGTGGACCGCAACCAGGACGGTGAAATTACTCGTGACGAGTTCCGCAAACTCATGAATCAATATGGAATTCGAGATGAAGGAGACATTGCCTCATTGATGAAGAAACTGGACGTCGACGGGAATGGATGCATCGGATATGAAGAATTCGAAAGCGTTTTCCACGAGACTCGAGTGGGTAAAGTTCCAGCACCTCGACGAAATTCGGCGGCCAAACCAGTCGCTGTAGTTGAGTCGAAGAATGCTCGAGGTGCGCGCATGCGAGACCTTCAGATTAAGTGGATGAAGCGCGTATTGAGTTGTCACGATTCAATTGAGTCAGCGTTTTACCAGTACGACGGTGATGGCAATGGCGAGTTGGATCACGATGAGTTCCGTCACTTTATGAAGAGATACGGCATTGTGAAGAATGACGATATCGATACGCTGATTAAACGTCTTGATACGGACGGATCGGGGACGATCTCGTTTGAGGAATTCTCTGTAATCTTCAATCCGCTGAGGATAAACCCTGGCTCTACCGCTGAAGGAATCAGTGCGATGGCAGCCGCTGCTGCTGAGGAAATCTTCGACCCGGAGGAGCTGGAATCCATTTTGGAGATCGAACGCGAGCTGGCTCAGCGTATGGCACATCAAACTCGTGACTTGCGCTTAGCATTCCGCAAATTTGACACCAACGGCAACGGTCTGCTAGAATACAAAGAGTTCCGCAGTGTATTGAAGTCGTATCGGCTTCCAGAAATGGAGATCCGCAAAGTCATTCGCCACCTGGATCGTGACGTATCTGGGTTCATCGACTACAAGGAATTTATCGCTGGATTTGGTTCCCTCAAAGAAAGCGGCGTAGCTGCGCCGGTACCTCAGAAGAAAGTTGAGAAGCGTGCGTCACCTGAAAAGGGAAAAGCGAAGCCAAAGACTCACGTTCGTCGCTCACCAGCCAAGCCACAGCGTTCTAAGACGCCATTACCAGAAAATCTAAAGAAGACGATGCTTGAGCGGATACTCGCGATTCATGGAACTGTACAAGGTGCTTTCCGCGAGTATGACCTTGATAAAGAAGGCAGTCTCAACGAGGCTCAGTTCGTGAAATTGGTGCTGGATTGTGAATTTTCGAGAGACGAAGCAGCTCTTCTCCTCGATATTTTCGATCAAGATCAATCAGGAACAGTAGAATACCAGGAATTCTTAGCCCAACTCGTCGTAAAGGGGACACAACAGAGCCAAATAAGCTTGAAGTCAAGTACAAGTCCAGCATTGTAAGATAGACGACGTTCCACGCAAAGTGTCCTAGATAAGATTTTATTTTGGATTTTTTAATTACACTTCAACTTGGGACGGCTCAATTCGGACACAGAAGATCCAATCATTCTGAAAGGTTGCATTGAAATATAACCAGCAAAAGGTGCAAAAGGCGTTTAGTGTATCCACGATGGAGGTGAGGGATACATCACACTGGCATCGCAAATGGATTGTATTACTGGGGATACTAGGATGGCTGTTCCTCTATCGCTATCGAGTCACGGGTTTCCTACTCTCCAAGGCCGTCACATTCCAGTTATCCAAATCTCGTTCGCGCAATTCCAAACTAGTTCCTGTTACGGTTAGAGTGGAACGAGTGTCCCTCCAGCCATTAAGGTTTTTCAATGTAGAGCTCAGTAGCAATGGATCCAGTTGCTGGCGTGTAATCCTCACGAAAGTGGAAGTACAGAGCCACGTAAAGGAGTTCTTTGAATCGTTCGGCCTTGTCAAAATTTGTGTCTTGGCGATTGATGAAATAATTGGAGATGTGGAGAAAATCGATGAAGAAGTGCTAAGGGATGCTCTTTTACCCAAGAAAACAGTCGCGAGGGATGGAGGCACTCGACGTGAGTATGAATTCTGCGAGTTTTGATCTTTTTGGTACTAACGACGTCTCTTCTCTCACTGTGTCTAGCCAAAATGAATCCGATTTGCTACATGCGTTTTGTGGATCTGACAGTGCAAAGTATTCGGCTTCGAGTCAATTGTATGGAGACGATGACTAAGTTCTTGTGTCAAGGACTTTACGTTGGAATCACCGACGTGTTTGTGCAGCGCGACATGTTACAGCTGAAGGTGCAAACAAAGTCGATGGCTATCCACAGCTCTCCTCAGGTTGACGGCCAAGTGGCAACGAATGACGAAAGCGACGGAAGTGATGGTCTGCGTGTGGATATCCCTAACACCAGTGCTGTTTTGGACCTAAACTTGCGGAACCAGCGCTTCCTTGGGTGTAAGGTGACTGGGTGTGAAGAGCAGACAACCAGCTTCACGGTCTCGACTGCCTTTTTAGAGCGTGCGCTTACAGCAAGGAATGAAGTTATCCGAAAGGGATTAGCTGTTGTCGGCGATGTGAAATCAAATCGTTCGGGAGATTTTGCTGTACCGCCAGTTACTCCATCTGAGATTGAGATTGACAACTTTAGTATCAGCATTACAGTTGTGAACGAAGTGGAACCTGGTGGACTTATCCCAATACAATTCTGCGCTGACGTTCGCAAGCTGAGAATTCTGAAACAGCTCGAGTCCTTGAATGAGAGTTGCACTGAAAACGAAGTCTTGGAATCTCCAGCAACACGTGACGAAGTGAGGATTCAAGTAGAAGCTCTGGTCCGGAACGCGCGTGTTCACAACCTAGCATCAAAAAGAAAAATGGTATCCGTGTGCTCCATCGAGGTACATGCAAAGCAAACAGCGCTGAATCGCGGACTTCTTACCGGAGCTTTCGAAAAGATTGATATCTTCTTGAGTCACCGCTCTGAGAAGATATTCCGCTCTTTAATAGCAGCTCAGGAACGTGTGAAAAAATGTCAGGTCGAAGCTAAAAGGATGCTATATCCAAGCATAATAGCTAGCGATCGACTCACAGCGCACGAGAAGAAAGACCTCATTAATTGGGATGCTGAAATCGAAGTTACTGCTTGGATGCTGTCATTCAAAGCCTTCGCTAAGGGCGGTGGAACAGACGACTTCACTGTTTATGGAATGGCTACATCGATCCAAACTCCACTAGCTCCCGTTCGAGGAGATAATGGCTCGTCGTTCATCATACGCTCTATAGCAGTTCAGCACATTACTGTTGACGTGGCGCCAAATGGACTTAACCCGCATTCGGCGGTTTTTGGAGGGGTCAAATTGAGTCCAAGTACTTGTTTAGACCCAGCTGAAAAAGCCAAAACAACTGAAATGTCTGTCAAGTTCGAGTTCGTCTCGATCAATGGTTTACTTCCGGATAATCGCGAAAACTCTAGTCGATTCCCAGCGATATATCTTCACGACGTGAAAGTCGATCGTAAAGAAAAGATAACAGACGAAGTCTCAGAAGTGGATATGGATATTCACCTGGAGAATACCAACGTGAAATGGCCCTACCGGGAACACAAGGAGTTTTTACTCGAATGGGCCGCGACTAAAAACATAATTGATCAGCTGGATTTGCTACTGTCAAGTTCGTCAAAGAAAATTCGGACACCAACTGACCAAGCAGTACCGAAAATACTGAGTACAAACGTTTACTCGAAAGACACAGCTATAGATGTGATGGATATCCCAGGTGTGGCACCCTCAGCCGCTTTTTGCCTAACGGAAACCAAGGTGAATCACCGAGCAACGCAGCTATGTGTTACCACTGCATTCAACTCGGCAAACGCGAGTGTATGTTGGGGAGAGAAGCCGTCAGCAATTACGTTGACCAATGTTTCTTTCCAGAACAGAAGCAGTATTGGGCGACAAAGGTACCTGACCAAGGTCCCAATTCAAAGCGACATTAGATGCAGCTCACTGAAAGCACATCTTCGTCCTCAAAGTCGAATGTTACTTCTGTTTCTGCGTCTCGACCAACTCACCAGTGGATCATCGGACAAGACAAATGCCGTAAAACAAACTTCTGTTCAAGGGATCTCTTTCGTTTGTGGGAAATTTACAATTGAGCTGGAAGATGCAAAAAATGAGACTGCAAGTATTGAGTTTGACAACCTTGGCGTCAAAATGACTCGATGCACCCCACGAGAAGTTCCAGAAACCATCACTCGGGTTTCTCAGTGTCTGGAGACGGAACTTACTGGACGGTCTTTTGCTGAAGTTGCACAGCAAGTTATGACTGTGGAAGGGACAGCTTCTGCTAGTGCAATTACAGCTGTGATACCGTTGAAAAGGTTGGTTGAGTTGCAGGACACAGAGCTGCATTTCTCGATTACAGACGTCGAGTGGAGTCGATTGTTGACATGGGAAAACGACTTAGTAGTGCCGCGTACCACGAGTTTTGACTTAAGCATGTTGACAGAGAGAATTCACTTGGCCATGGAGAGAAAACTCTTTGATTCTTTGTTCCGCTTGATCCCCATTCTTCAAGAAGCTTTCGATACCAAAGAACCGCAAATACATGATGAAACCATAGCTGAGCAGCCAAATTTCCGCCTACGTTTCGTTGGGAACGTCGACATTGCTTTTCAAAATGCTGAGCTTACGTGTCCTTATGGTGATAAAGATGGTCGAGAACAAATTGGGAGTAAAGTGACGCGGGTTCTTCTCGGCGAAGTAGCGTTTAATCTGCGCCAGTTCCAAGTCATGGGGTTCAAGTGTTCTCCTCTGCGTGTCATGCTCGAAGACGCAGACTTCATTGAACGCATCGACACGAGGATTCGTAGCGGTGATGACTCATTGCAGCTTCTTTTTATCCCCGAAGTCAGCGTCAGCACATTTATCCACTGGCAGCACGGGATTCATTACGCTGGCCAGCTCCAGTTTGCCTTGTCTTCAGAAATCGCACTGGGACATACACACTCGTACGATCCGCCAACTCACGTTCCTATTGTGGATGAAGCTCTAGTGTCTTTGAACTGGGATTGTGTGGTCCCCTGGCTCATCTACATGATAACCGACGATAATGGCGAATATCCCGTTGAAAACTCGATCAAAGCGAGTTCAGATGAAGCCAAACGCGTACAATGTGTGGGCGTACAATGGGATTTATCCGTCAATTCAATCCAGTTCGCTTGGTGGGATACAGCGACACAGGACATCGGAATGCTTGTAGTGGCGAACGAGTTTCTCACACATGGGCTGATACGACTAGATAGCTCGGAATCAGACGATGTGAAGCAGGAATGGAAGCTCTGGGAGGCGACAGTGTATCTTCATTTGTTCCGAGGATATCTACTCCATGTCGAGGACGACTTTGTCGCTGGTGAGAAGAGTATTCCTGAAATTCTACCTTTCGGATCGGAAATGGCATCAAACTTCTCGTTGGAAACAGTTGGAACCAGTTATCGAAACTCGTACACGCCTGATGAGGACGAGAACTGGGAAGTTCTCGATGAACAAGTGACCGTGATGTTCGCTCCGTCAAACGCGACTATTTTCGAGAAAATGCACGACGCATTTGTCCCGATTGATTACGAGTTCGGCATCTCAACTCGTCCGAAACTTGTAAAGCAAGACACCCCAGCGATACGACTTCCAATGCTACATGTTCCGAGCTCCGTGCGGAGATCTTCTGCAGCGATTTCTCCGCCTAAATCGCCCCGATCTGCTAAAAACTGGACGCAGAACATTAAAAGCAAATTGTCACTACTCAATCGCCGATCTGCTTCGATGGATAATCTCTTCCTGAAAGACGGGTCTTGTCCGATTCAAGTGGATTCCATGAGGCTCCTCTGGACGCTTCAAACTCGAGACAGCGTTTTTTACATGGTTTCTACGACGGTTGATAGTCTTCGATTGATCTTGGACACTAAACGAAATGCTGGAAACATCGACGGAGCACGTGATGTGGCTGAACCAGCGCCACTTTCGCCTCCGAAGCGAACAAAACGCAGTAGCTTTCGACCTCCTTCCGTCGTGTCCAATAGCTCCGATGTCGACACTAGTGACACCATCGTTAAGACCGCAAGATTCGGAAGTCGTCGAGGCAGCACTCGAGATACGCTGCTAGACTTATTGCAGCAAGGAAAACTCGGTATGACCCAGGAAGACCGCGAATCATCGTCAAAATCTATCGACGAAGAGTCTGAGTCGACACGTGAAAGTATCGGTGAAGACAGTAGCGACTATGCCGCTCCAAAAACCGCGATTGCCATGAAAGCTTACACTGTCGATATCCACGACGTACAGATCAATGTGCGCGAAGAAAACACACGAAGTAACGTGCTGGTAGCGTCCAAGCACATCCACTTTGAGATCGGCACTGATGCGAGCGATACCAACACAATTGCGAATGTAACTTTCGACAATGTTACGGCTCATGTGGCTCCAATTGACGTGGATATTTCAGCAGGTGTGTTGTGGTACTCGCACTCTAATACTGGTCCAGGTTCGGCCTTGCTGAAGCAGATTATGGAGGAATGCTCTCTCACCAGCTCGTACACGCACACACAAAGTACCGGCGCCACTAGCACCGAAGTAGATTTGTCGTTCTTGCAGCCCTCCACTGATAGACATCAGTTCTATCAGCTCATGAACGTGATTCGACATGTGCTGCTAGCGCCACCGTCAGTAGCCAGACGACCCAAGCGCACGTACACTCCGAGAACGTATTCAACCGAGTCTCCGTTTCTGATGGAAGGCAGCGACATCACGGTATTCACCCCACCAACTACGACAAACACCTTGGCAGCGTCGACTTCAGCGAAAAAACTCCACGTTCTGCTCGAAGAAGAGTTGAGAAATAGAGAAATACGTACACGAGGGACGTCTTCCCGGTCCAAAGCGACAGCACTGAAAGCGATTTCGTTCAAAGTCGTCGGGATGCAGTGGAAATTGCGGTTAAGTCCCGAAATTACTGGCGCTGATCACGAGTTTGTTGGGATTCGCATCACGGGGTTCACAGGTTGCCACACGTACTTTACCAACCACTGTACCAAGCTAACGTTGAATCTCCAATGGCTTGAGATAAATAACTTGCACCCCGGGCCTTCATCAGTTGCTTTCGAGGACCCCACTGCAGTGCTGAAGGCGAAACTTCTTGTCGATAAACGCCTTGAGAGCAGCACCACTGGAAACCAGAAGGGAATGCTGGTCGTTCGTGCAGAAAGTGGGCCGATCGTACGAGTTCATGGCCAGAAACTGCGAGTCCTGGAAGTCTTGGAAGTCAGTATGTTCCCAGAAGTATCCAACATGATCGTCATCCAGCTCGCAGCAGATTTCTACGAACTCATCTACAAATTCTTCTTCGAGAACATTTCTCCAACTCCGCAGAACTCCGAGCAAGTGTTTCTGGGTCGAAAGTCCACCTACGGACCAGCGTCACCCACAGCATCGAGCAGTACGTCATCGCTGGGTCCAAAAGGTGGCAGCTCTCCCTTCACCAAGTCTCGGATGTCTCAAACTTCACCACAAAACTCGCTGCGTCCGCTGCGCAAGAGCAACTCGGCTAACAGTATGGTTGCTGAGTCTGCTGGACCAAACTCCCCGAATTCTATCTCCAGTACTGACGAGATACCCGACGAAAGCGACTCGACAGCTACGGATGACTGCGAGTTGTTTTACGTAAAATACGTGCGAGTGGGGAACGTTCGTCTGCGAATCAACTGCAATGGCTTCTTCGTCAACTTGAGTAACTTCGACTTGGATCTCCCGCCGTATATTTGCCAGAGCAAACTCTGTACGAGTAAAAAGCTGCTCCAGAAGTTTGAGTCGCATCTGAAATGGTACATCACGAAGGAAAGCGCTTCATCAGGACTCTCCCAGTTCAAGAACAAACTGCTCAAATGGACTCCGGCATCTTCGTCTACGGATGGCAAGAAAAACGACAAAAGTAAGAAGCAAGAGGAAGATACGGCGGCTGCGAACGCCCAGGTCTTGTTCGGGCCATACTCCGGGACATCAACATAAGCCAAGTTCATGTATTTTGGCTAAAACACACACGATATGTGGCACATTTCGGCGTACCAATGCGACGAAATGGTGCCGTCACGACTGAATTCTTACAAAATGCACTCGAGGCACTCCTTGATGCGTCGGATGAAGTTAAAAGCACCTGTGTCACGGGGCTAGCAGGCAAATATACCGGTTAGATACACTGAATAACTACTAAACTAAACACAACTCAAATACCTCAGTGAACCCGCTGTCTTTGCGCGTCTGCATGACCTCGATAAACTCCTTCGTGGACAAATGTCCATCCCCTGTAGCCATGTACAACATTGTTAGCTTCATAAAACACGAAATAAACACAGGATAGTACCCACCGTCGAGGTCGAACAGCGCAAACAGAATGTCAATCTGCAGAGGAGTAACTGGTTTCGTGTTCTTGCTTGCGCGCACTGCTGCTCTCGTAGCTCGGTGGAATTGCTCTGCAAATGATATGAATAATAAGATGATGACCACCTGTTTGTAAAAGCAGGAGTACCTTTGTTCACTCCGTGGGCTTGCATAACAAGATCCATAGCCACCTTCAGCTCATCCAGATGTTCGAGGAACACGTTGAAGTCCATGAACTCTTGTTCCGTGATATGTCCCTATGATTTAACAGCGCAGACTATATTAGATCATTCTTGCAGCTATCGCTGTGAATTCTTTAGCAAACGAACGCTTAGGTGCTGCAGTTTGTCCACGCGCTCGACCCACTGTTCGATATGACGCTACAAACATTCACACAGAGCAGCAATTAATGTTGCAGTCAATATCAGCATACTTTTAATAAACTACGACGAACCTGGTCAACGTGTGAGACCAGGAACATTCCGAATTCACGAGGTGAGAGAGTCCTGTCGCCATCAACATCATACTGCTCGAAGTGATCCGTCGTCAAGGAGAACTTCGAATAAGTACAAAAAAAAACCTCAAATAGCAAACAAAATGTAGGTGTGAAGGATATCTGAATGCGCATGATCTCCTGCATCAGCTCGCGACGGAATGTGCAGAACTCGTCGTAAGACAAGGACTTGGTGGCCAACTCGCCGAACAAGTGCTTGAAGATGGGTACATCGTCGTCGTGCATTGAACGATCCTGACGACCCGCAGGCGTGCGCAGCCGCATCAACTCCATGATCTACACAACAAAATTAGTTTTAAAAACTACAAAATGAATAATTCGGCCACGCCCACCTGCTTGAATTCCCGGTGGTCCAGTTTGCCGTTGTCGTCAGTGTCGAACATCTTGAACGCCAACTCAAACTGCCGCTCCGGAACTACACAAATTGTAAAAAATATATATATAAAAAAATACTTCGGAAGTAATAAATAGTAGAATAACTTACTCGCTAGTAGCGTTCTGAAGAACATATACTCTGCGTAATTGATGAGTCCATCGCCGTCCGCGTCCACCATGTCGAAAAAAGTTTTGGGACGTTGCGGTCCTCCGTGCATGACCACGAACTGGTCGAACTCTGCGTTGGTGACCTGTAAAGCCTTGAGCGTCTTGATGTGTGTCTCAAAGTCCACGTGCTCGTCCTTGAATGCCAGCAACTCTTCGACCTCTTTCTTGGACACATTGGCATTGTCAATTAGGAGCTTCTGCACACGTCGCAGATACTCGTCGGCCATATCTTTGGGGATCTTATCGGCACTCGCTTTGGCGTTGAATTTCGGATTCTTGGAGGCGATGGGGGCCCCGTGACGGTAAGTGTAGGGCGTCACAGCTCGAGCTAGATCGTCTCTTGTCATGAAATATTCTTTCTCGATCTCCACGCTTGAGAAATACTCGAATACACGCTCGGGGGAACTGAATTTACGCAAGCGGTTTTCGTAGTTGCCCACGGTACGCTCCGTGAATGTCGGTTTGTCGAATTGGGCGGCCTCCAGACGCGTGGGAGGGGGACAGGACATAGCGGAGAAGCTGCTGGCGACCGCAAAGGCAGCCACCGCTGGTGACGAACGCAAGGAACGCAGCAGCAAGCGCGACATAATATGCAACGAGGGGGTGTACTGCTTCAAGGCAATAATGGATCGACTAATTGTGGCTTTTGTGAACTTGTAAGATCCTAATCTAAAATTTTATTTTTCTATTTCCTTACCAAATAATTATTTTCCGCCTAAATAAAACATGTTGATGGTAAGATAAAATTTCAGTTTGTCAAACCTAATCTAAATTTTTATCTTACGTTTTTCCTTACCAAATACTTTATCTTACTGGGCAGACAATTGAGTAATCATTTGTCTGCCCAGTAAGATAAAATATTTGGTAAGGAAAAGAGTAAGATAAAAAAATTATGCCAACCAGTTCCTTACAAGCCCTAATAACTTAGTTCCACATTCCACTTGAGCAGTCCAGAACATACACTTGTCCTCAGCTCGGGGTTGCGAAGTCTGCCTACCCATAGCAAACGAAGCTTTTTGACGCATTATCCCAACTGGGCATTTTTGTTTGTATGGGACGGTTTCTAACAAAGTTCATTTTTCATTACAGCCCTATATCAACTTCGTTCTGATTGGCCGACAGAAGGCGGCAGCCTAATAACACATAGTGCCAAAAACTTGTCGGTACGTATGCTGATTGGACAGGATGGCATTCAGACGAAAAAAACCCATTAAAATGTTAATGGGTTTTTTTTGTCTGAATGCCATCCAACGGCAAATCGACATTTTCATCGAAAGTTCTACGATGTCTATTTTATTACTCAACGAAACTTGTAGAACCCCATTAAAATTTTAATGGGTTTTTTTCCGTCTGAATGCCATCCCGGCTAATCAGATCTCTCGAAATATTTGATGACTGAGTCAATTTTTAAGCGTCGTTTTGTTTTGGTAGCTGCAAATCAAAAGGAGGGGCAAAGTCATATATTGTATACTAAGTAAAGCGTGAAGCGGTATCAACAGAAAAGGTCATCTCTCCCACTTTTCTAGAGTTCGATCCGTTCTACAAGAACGAATCGAATCTCCAGCGGCTGCTTTGGCGCCGTGGTGCGAGCGCCTCGTGGCCTCCAAGGTCTTCATGCGCTACGACTATGCATGGTACGCGTCTACTCTGTTTATTCACGCAACTTGCTATACATTTATGCATCTCTAACTTGCTTAAAATCCACAGGAAAGAGACCGAGTTCCAGCAGGCAGAACATCGCATCACAGGTATCGGTTGCCGGCTATTGTACCTACACGCCTCGTGGGTGGAGACGTACAACCACACCACAGGTTCTATCTCCTCCTCTGGACCTCGTACGAAGGTCTTCATTGAGGCCAATGATTTCTCAGAGCTGGCTGATGGTAAAAGGTCATCGTGTTTTGTGCGAGCTGCGCGAGTCGCTGCTAGCTCTTAAGGTATGGTTTGCTAAATAAGTTTCCTATTGGTGCTGCTGGCGCTAAATAGCAGCTTGAGGCGATGGTTGTGCGTAGTAGATATTTCTACCACGTATACGCTTAGTGAAGCCTGTTCACTTGAAGTACTTGGACATTGCGAACACTTCAGTCAACATCCATGTCCACAGGCTCGTCGTTATCTTCTGGAAGCTCTTCGAACCGCACAAAGTGCTCGTCCTCGCTCTCCGACGTGTCGGTTTCTGTGTGTTTGTCGTCCTCGACGAGTTCGACCCGTGGATTTGTTGACAATGGCATCGACTGGTACGGGTTAAAGACAACCATTGCGCGACAAGAAGCGTCGCTAGGGATCTCAATAGGCCGCTCAGCAGCCATGTAGTCATCGTGCCGCATTGTCTTCCATGGGAATTCTGCCTGTGCTGCTGGTGTGGCGAGCACTAGCGGTCTTTTCTTGCCTGCTTCGGGAGCTGCTGGAACGATAGCCTTGTTGGCCCGCCAGGTGGTTCTTGGGGTAACAGCTTCCTCGTCCGTCATGTCTGAGTCCACGTCGTTCTTGGGTGAGTCAGTTGGTGACGAGACCCGCATCCGTTTAATACCGTCCATTACCGCACTGCGTTCATGTCGGCCCCACGGATGCCTTTGTGCTTCTTCGTCGCTATCACTGTCTTGGTCGCGAGACCGCTTCAACGGAGTGCCCATGATACCCCGGGCTCGTCCAAAGCTGCGTTGACGCAACGCGTTCTGCTTGCGCTCAAAGAGATAACCGGCCTGGCTGTTGAGGCCGCACACACCTCCACCATTGAAGGATCGCATTCGTGTGTCGTGGGGTTCTGCTTGTTGCTCGCACGTAGACAATTGAGTTATGCCGACCAGTTCCAGCCACTGATGACTTCAAAACTGTTTCAATTTTCAAGCGTCGTTTTGTTTTGGTAGCTTCAAATCAAAAGGAAGGGCGACATCATTTATTGTACTAAGTAAAGCGTGAAGCGGTATAATCAGATATGGTCATCTCTCCCTTGTCTCAAAAGTGGCTGTTTTTCACACGTGTCTCGAATTCTTCTCGAACAATCGAACTCTTTTCTAAATGAAAAACACTCTCTACAAGAACGAATCGAATCTCCTCGAACCAGCAGCTTCAATCGACTCAAATCAAACATCATGGCGCAACAACCTCTAGCAGCTCCAGCGGCTGCTTTGGCGCCGTGGCGCGAGCGCCTCGTGGCCTCCAAGGTCTTCATGCGCTACGACTATGCATGGTACGCGTCTACTCTGTGTATTCACGCAACTTGCTATACATTTATGCATCTCTAACTTGCTTAAAATCCACAGGAAAGAGACCGAGTTCCAGCAGGCAGAGCATCGCATCACAGGTATCGGTTGCCGGCTATTGTACCTACACGCTTCGTGGGTGGAGACGTACAACCACACCACAGGTTCTATCTCCTCCTCTGGACCTCGTACGAAGGTCTTCATTGAGGCCAATGGTTTCCCAGAGTTCCAGGAACGAGTATCCAAATCCTGTGAACTCATGAGTTACGACATTGTGTCCGATCCATTGGACGCAGACTTGGTGTTTGTATACGTGGCTCCTCCGGGCGAGCGACGCAATGCGGACAACCAGTACAAGACTTTTCAGACGGTGGTGGAGCATTCGAAAGCTCTACCAGACAATGAGAAGCCCATGTTCTGCTTTTTACTGGGCGACGCGGATTTCTTACCGCTCCCTAAAACGGAGGAGGACGAGAATATGCGCAGTCTTAGCGACTTTGCCATCTCCCAGGAGTTCGCACCTATTGCGAGGGAGGCGGACTATGGATCGGTGGCTCAATTTGCTGTGGAGTTTGTCCCTGCTAGCCAGGAGAGCTTGAGTAACGAGTTTAAGGAGGACAAGACCAGAAAACTGGATTCGTTGATGAGCAGGTTTGGATGTGTGGGCCAGAATCTCATGCATCATACCGAGAAGTGGGAGTTTTATGCCCCCTGCGAAAGCGTCTTTTGCCATGGAGAAGAAGACCCGAAAGGAGTGACCCACCCTAGTGAAGAGGACACAATGTTCTGGTTCAACGAGACCAAGGGAAAGACATGCGACCAGTGTCATGCTCCAAGCGAGAAATTGTCCAAGTGCGCGAGGTGCCGAGACGCTGTTTACTGCTCGCGAGATTGCCAAAAAGCAGCCTGGAAGCTGCATAAACGACTGTGTGGCAAGACTACCGAGGAAATTACCGCCTCCAACGAAAAGGCAAACAAGTAATAGAAGAACTGTGAATAAAAACGTCGATGATATGTTCTCCATCGTCTGAAATGTCAAAATATGTATGATGCTGTACAACTTGTACTAATACTGTAGTACTTGTACAGTACAAGTACTACAGTATTAGTACACCGTTTTATGGTTTGACATGTATTTGATGTGTACCACGCATTGTGTTTCAACGGGCGCTGGTGCATTATTGCGCGCTGGAGCTGCTTGCTACCGACCTTTGGCGCTTGCTGCTGCACCATGGAGCGCGCACATGTGCTCATCCGCTTGCGTGGCGACGCATCTTCGTCTGGTGCTGTCGGTATCTGCCGCATGAGCGCTACCACTGTCCGATTGGAGCACAGCGAGATGTCTCCGGGAGTGGCCAGCATCACCTTCGAGCAGGTCTTCGACGTGAACGACAGCAATTCTCGTGTATTTCAGACCAGCTTAACAGGTGCAATAGACGACGTTGTTGGTGGAAGAGCTGTTACGCTAATAGCGACGGGTGCAACGAGTGCAGGCAAGTCGTTCGCGTGTCATGGTGACCAGCACAAGCCGAGCAATGGAAAAGCTGAGCCGGGGCTGATTACGTTGGCAATACGACGTGTTTTCAGCGGTTTGGTGAATAGTATTAAGGATGGAGAGAAGTGCAACGTGTTGCTGAGTTGCTGGGGCGCCCAAAGCGGCAATAACGAAGCTCTGATGGACCTTCTAGCCGATGGGACGTCCGTCGACATGAAGGACATGGAAAAGGTGATGGTGGACCAATCTGTCGTGGTAAAAACACCTGCAGAAGCCGTGCATTTATATTCGAAAGCTCTGGGCAGACTGAAGGATACGCAGAAACAGGATTTTGTGTTTGCGCTGCATGTGGAGACGTTGTTGGCGAATGGCGAGGCCCGACGAGGACGGTTGATTGTTATCGACATTGACGGAGGGTCGATCATCGAGCCGAGAGGAGAACAAATGTACCAAACGCAGAAGAAAAACCGTGGAGAGTATTTCTTGGACCCGCAGTTTTCAGTGAATGAAACGCTAAGCGCAGGCTTCGGAGCGTTTGTGGGGAATACAAGCTCCACGTATCTGCTTGTTGCAATTCAGACGCCAGCGCAGTTTCAGCAGCAGGTAAGGGTGACTTTATTCTTAATTCTCCGTTTGAATTATCTGATAACACTGTTTTTGGAAATTAGGCCATCCAATCGCTTTTGTACGCGTGTAAAGCGAAAGAGATCAAGAGTTCAAGCGCGATCAACTATTTATCTGAATATGTCGAGAGAAACAGCTCGAATCAGCTTCTTGAAACGGGGAAGCGACTGTCGAAGGACGCAGAAAATCAAGCACCAGGTTGTCGTGAAGACGTTGAGGTGCCCAAGGCTCCTCAAATCTACTCAGCCGAGCAACGCGCTAATTTATTTTCCAGTGGAGCATTACCGCCTGTATCACCGCCATTGTAAGTATCTGTGCTCGTTCATTTTGTCTCTCTGAGCACTTTTTCAGATCGATTTTGACCGATTCTGTGGTGGTTTATGCTGCTAGATCTACCACCTCAAGCGGCTCCACATGCGAGCCACCATTCATCGCTCCTCGAGCTCGAGAGCCAGTGGATTCACCAAGCCTTAGTCCAAGCACAAGTTGCGAAAGTGAAGAATCACTGAAGCAGTCAGCCGTATCAAAACGTCTGCGCAAGGCGTATGACATCGCGAAAGCTGCTACCAGTTCGCCATTAAAGCGGAGCATAGTATTCGCTGCGGGTTCCAATCAGTCTGATGAGTCTACTGCCCACGCTGCAATTGATGAATTACTGAAGCATCTCCCGCATGACACGTTACGTGGACTATCTCTCCAAGCCAAATTAGAGCAAATCCGAGCAACTCAAGCGGAATTAGAGCGTGCGTTAGCACACGAGGTCTCTATCAAGGACAAGTGTGTGGATCGAATCTCACGACTGAGTCAAGCCATGAGCTGCCAGGTGGTTGAGCACGAGCAACAGCTACACGAAGCTCTGACGGCGAAGCACACAGCAGAGTCTCAACTGCAAGATCTCACCATAAAATTCGATGATGTCGGGCACGAGGTGACGCGCTTACAGGAGGAGGTCAGGTTGTTGAAAACTGGCTCGGCTGCTGCTCAAACGCCTGAAAATGAACGATCAATGCTGCACACCTTGTCTGCTCGGCTTGAAGAGGCGATGATTCAAGCCAAGGACGTGATAACGTTCAAAGATGGAGTCATTCAGTCTCTCGAGGAACGACTGCAGCTGGCAAGCAAGCGTGGAGCAGACACTATAGCGTTGTTGGAGCAGGAGAGAGGCCAGTTTGAACGCGAGAAGGCAGATCTTCTCACCCAGTTACATCAGAGTCAAGGGAGCAATACCAGTAAGAAAGACGAGGAGGTTTTGAAGTTGCAATCGGAGAATATGACGCTCGAACAGCAAAAAGCAGAGCTCACTGTTAAAGTAGCGCAACTCACGCTTGAATTGGAGACGGCGAGGGCGCAGTGGGCACAGGACGCTCGTGACCGCGAGGATCGAGCTGAAAAGAGATGCGCCAAGCAGGTCGCTCAAGCCGAACAGCAGCTGGAACAGGCTACAACTGCGATGCAGCAGCAAATGGCTCAGTTTCGCGATGAGCTGGACATGAAACTGGCAAGGCAGCGTGTAGCTGCGCAAGTGGCTTGTAAGGCAGGTGAAGTGAAGTGTGAGCAGTTGGAACGTGAACTGCAGCGCATGAAGCAGAAATTGGCCAAGCAAAAGATGAAGATGGAGAAGAAGGCGCGTGTGCTGGTTGCCAATGCTCACAAAGAGCACGAAGAGCCTGTTGCGTTGCTGAAACGTGGTCTGGAAGATCTGTCGGAGCGTTTAATTGTCGTGGTGGAACGTGAGCAGGAGGCAATAAGAAGAGCAGAAAAAAGCGAGGAAGCTGTCGAACGGTTCAAAGCTGACATACAGAAGTTAAAGACGACAGTATGCGAGTTGGAGCGGGAACGTACTGCGCTGGGGAATCTTTACAAAGAGCTCGATGCTGATAAAGACGCAGTTAAAGCTGATTTTGAGCTACGAAGCCGCGAGATGGAGGAAGCATTGGCGCAACAGATTATGGCAGCTGAAGCTCGAGTCAATAAGGAACGAGATGATGAGGTACAAAAGTTGATAAAACAACATGACACGGAGATGAATCGGCTACAAACTGAAGCACGAGAACGAGAGCAGAGTATGGTCAAGGAACAGCTAGGAAGGCAGCAATCGTCGTCAGAATCATCAGAAGGTGGATCGTTGACATCCAATAACAGCCACCAGAAGCGCATTGAGGAACTTGATGCATTGATCGACTCGAAAGAGCGGCGATATCGACATCTGGAGAAGCGGAAGAAAGCTGGTAGGTCATCATCTTCGTCCCCGCCTACAAAGAAAACTACTTCGTCGTTGAAGAAAGAATTGGCACACAAGGAAGAGAAGATTGCAGAGTTGTCGATCCGGCAAAAGCAGCTCTTGGTAGCCTTAGCCACTGCTAATGAGCAGGAAACGCGTGCAAAGCAACAGGTTCAAGAGACCAAGTCGCAACGTCAGAGCGAAGTGGCTCAGTACGAAGATCTGCTTCAACAGCTTAATTGTCTCAAGCGGGAGAACTGGAACCTCAGTCTTGCTCTCCAAGTTACGGAAGCGTCAAGGCATCAACAATAGCGCAAACCGCCACTACCTGCTGCTCACTAGGCATCTGATTAGAGGTTTTTGCGTAAAAAGTGTAGATTAATTGGACGAATACTATGACACCATCATGACCTTAATTGTGGTGGTGGCCTTCTATTGAAAATGAAATACCGTGTCTCGTTTGACCTTCTAGGGGCATTTCGTAGATATCTACTTTGCTGGCGTAAGAATTTTGAACCGTTAAATTGTTGAGGTTCCGAACCGCAGCTGGAGAAAAACGAGATGCTGTATCAGCTTGGACTGATACACTGTTTCTTGGACGGTAGTAGAGAAGGTGGAAAACGTGCGAGCTCTCGACTGTAGGTTCGCTTGAGTGCAAGTAGCCTAGCCTTTAGATCTTCTATCATTCGGCCGTATACACGCAACTCATGAGCGATCTCCTCCCACCCAATACGCTTTGCCGCATAGCTCAAACTCAAGCGGAAGTAGAAGAAGCCTCCAGTCTTCTCCATCTAGAAATGAAGTGCGCATGTGAGTGGTTCGTGGAAATGATTGCTTATTAATTACATCGTATAGACGATTTCGCGAGGAATATGGCTCGGATTATATTTAAATTTAAGCCAAACATTTACCCCAGATTTTGACCCTGAACTTCGATTTTTATGTTGGCCCGACAATCGAAGTCGGACCGAATTCTCGAGGGAAGTAGTCCTCTGAAAAGCATGAAGTAGCTATTGTTAAGTTTAGCCATCCCTGATAACTGCATCGAGCGAAATGTTATCCAGACCAACAATCCAGCAACGCACCATTTTTCCTCCTGTCTGCAGGTTCTTGTATGTGAAAAAATGAGAAGATGTAGTCGACTGGGGCACCTCCTGGCGATAACGTTCATGCGACTTGTTCTCTACTTGGGGTCGACAGCCTCTTGGTCATCCACCTCGTCAGTATGTTAGGGGTTCGCTGTAAGTTCTCCACTGGCATTTCCACTGCCGCTATCATGACCCGCATTGATCAAGCGAATCAAAAGCACCGATTCCATGAAGGTTATTTTCGAGTCAGCGGCCTCATCTTGTGAGAGGCCATCGCTACCAGCCAGAAGGATAACCACAACTACTAGTATGTGCCAGGTCAAGGCCATAGCAGATTTTGAGGGTGTTTGAGCTCCAGGCTGCGAATCTCGAAGTGACCTTCTTTGTATTTGGTGGAGATTCGAGACAATCTGCGCATCTGATTACTCAACTCAACCGACACGCACGTACCTGAATTGTCAAAAAAAAAAACCCTGACGTTATATTACAGGTATCTGCATGCTAGTCCAGCTCTCTGCAAACGCAGTGTGAATTATAGCAACATGTAGGCCCAGATTGATTTGTACTAAAAAAAAAAAAATATTACCCGCGAAGCATACAATCAGGTACCAGTACTGAAAAGCAGTAGAGTAGTAGAGTAGTAAAGTGGCCTTCTATTTGATTTTTATGTTTTTCCTATAGAAGCGTACTGATGAAGCATAGCCATATTGAACTTGGATCTCTAGGTCTGTCCACTAGATTACGGGGTACCCCTTTGTGGGTGCAACGTAAATGTTTGAACCCACTGTCAGGGTTGTCTTTACAATTTGACCGATACATGCAGCATGACTTGTCATCAGTCAAACTAAAAGAGTAA